ATACATTGGCCTGAGCTGTTAAAGACATAGAAATGATTGTGCCATTTCTGTAGTAGGAATGTGCAAAAAGGTTTCCTTTGAATCAGTTTGAGTATGCAACTTCGCAAAACACCTAATTTCAAGCATGAAATTGCTTGTTTCAGGGATTTTACAATGATTGTAGTGGTTCATTTCATTCTCAAAGGATGTTTTTATGCGTGAAACACGCTTTTTGCCTATCCTATATATCACTGTGCCCTCAATTTTATATTAAAGCTGCTATGTCTAATATTATCTCCAGCCTCTTCGTACACGATTATGGCATAGTTTTTTCTATTTTTCCTAATGTTTTTCTATCTTGCAGCTTCAAGACAAAGCCACAGTGCTGACCACAGAGCGGAAGAAGGCAAGTGCCTCTTTTTAGTAAACCTGGCTGTGGAATCGGGTGATCCTGGGATATGCATAGAAATTATCTTAGCAGAAGATCTGCTAAGAGAGATCCAATTGCTTGTCCTAGATAGTTTGTGTTCTTGGTGGATGAGTTCTCTTTTCTTCTTTTGACAGAGAGGGAAGACTGTGCCAGAGGAGCTGGTGAAACCAGAAGAACTTAATAGATACCGGCAGGTGGCTTCACACGTGGTAAATACAGGATCGATTGAGAAGATTATCCTAAGAGTCCAGAAAATTGCTAAATTTCTTTAACACTGCTGATGAATTTCCTCATTGATGTCTGATGGGAGCACATTTAAATTAATGATAGTTCTCTACAATTTAGATATTGCTGTGCTCTGGATTGTCTGAGAGATTATATATTCTTCAAAAATACGGAACCTCTTCTATGCACCTGCTACCTCTACATCAATGTAGCACTGCATCTTGGTCTTTACTACCAAATCCAGTGATGTACTACTGATGTTTTGCTTGTAATTTCAATCTTGGTTCCTCTATTTCATTTCTTTGGGCAATTATTTTGCCTTGTTGATGCTGGATTTCCTTTTAGCTTTTTCTGCTAATGTTGCAAGTCTGAAGTAGAATAATTATCACAGCTTGCCAGGATAAACACTGCTTAGTTTTTAGGAGCATCATCAAATAGAAATATGGACTAAACACAAACAAACATCTCTCCACACACACACACACATACAGAGGCACCCACCTTTTGTAAAAACCTCCTTTTATGTTGCTGGTCAGTGAATAAAATGAGAAGGCTTGGAATGCTAATTGCAATTCTTTTGTGTTTTAAAACAGGGATTGCACAGTGCCAGTATCCCTGGCATCCTTGCTCTTGACCTGTGTCCTTCTGATACCAACAAGATCCTAACAGGTATGTTAAGACTTTCTGCTTCATTCCCCCCCCCCCAGAGTGCTGTTTATTACTCCCTGTTTATATTTGAAAAGATAGTAGCTTACAACTCATTTTCGTGTTGCTGAAGTCTATTTCCCTGGAACACTAGTAGTAATGTTACTGCAATATTACGCCAGTAATACGTGTTTTAAATCAACCACTGAAGAATGTTTTTTGTTAATAGATTCTGCTGCTGAGCTGCTCTGGTTTCTTAGTTTTGTCTTGTTCGCAGGTGGTGCTGATAAAAATGTTGTTGTCTTTGACAAGAGCTCAGAACAGATCCTGGCCACCCTGAAAGGTCACACGAAGAAGGTCACCAGCGTCGTGTTCCACCCATCCCAGGTAAGAGCTCTGGATTTTCTGCAGGATTTTTCCGTGAGAAAATCTCAGACTGATTATATTTAT